TTAATCCTCACCAAATCCTCACCATCATACTTTGGGACCATACATCTTAGACGCCGGTATTTTTCGTTGTCTAATTCCTTAACTTCTTTGTATCTCATACTTTTAAACTTATGATTTTATACTAATTTTTTGCTCTTTTCCAATTTTGAAAGAGGTCTAGTATGTCTCTTGTTTTACAGCATAAAATAACTCTTCATTTAAATGTTTGGTAGACATCCTAATTCTAAATTTTTCCTGTACTTTAAATCAAGCGCCTTTTTCCATAATATATTTCACTATATCTAAATGACCTTCCTTAGTAGCCAAGCTCAAGGGAGTAGCACCATCATTGCTAATTGCCCTAAAATCAGCTCCTTTTTCTATAAGATATTTTACTACATCAAGCTTTCCATCCTTAGCAGCAAAGTGTAGAGGTGTCCCGTTCCATATATGATTGATATTTAAATTTGCGCCATTCTCTACCAGATATTGTACTATTTTTAAATGCCCCTCACCAGCAGCACTATGCAGAGCAGAACAACCTCCTTTATTAGTAACATTGATATTAGCCCCTTTTTCTACTAGATACTTAAGTACTTCTAGATTACCATAGTGTGCAGCTTTATTTAGTGGTGTTAAACTACCATTTTCAGTAGCTTTGAGATCAAACCCTTTTTCCATGAAATATTTCACTATATCTACATTTCCTCCTGTAGCAGCTTCATGAAAAGGAGTTTTACCATACTCGATACCAATCTTGAAGTTAGCGCCCTTGTCTACAAGGTATTTTACTATCTCTAAAGAACACCATCTAGCAGCTCTGTGCAAAGGAGTTGAACCAGATTTATTGATAGCTGTGACATCACATCCTTTCTCTTCTACAAGATACCTTACTTTCTCCAATTCACCTGATTCAGCAGCATAATGCAGTGGTGTATCTCCATGATAATCACTAGCCTTACAGTCAGCTCCTTTTTCTACTAATTCTTTAACCCTATTAAGACTATATATTCCTGCAGCATAACGTAGATCTTCATTTAACTCTCTGTTAGAGGTCATAATACTCCACCGTATTTAGTTTTTAATTTTACTTTATAAGCTTTGTATTGTCAATTTGTTGTTACTATAAGTTATAGTATAATAAAATTTATCCTTTATTATGATACTTTAAAACTAGAAAAATATATCAATCACTTGACCTTTCACATGAAGACTTCCTTAAATGATATAATGCTGTCGCTATTTAAAGACAATAGAGAAGTATTTGGAGTAAGCAATGTACACGTACTTAAGTCAAGTAATATGTTAACATTAGAAAAATCTTCACTAGAAGCAAAGCCTGAGTCAATAGAAAAATCTTGGTTTACTTCAATCGTTTTGTTACATTGATCATTTTCAGTGATTTTAACTTCTATGTTACACATAGCATTTTCTTTGCAGAACACTATGGCTAAGGTGTACAATTGACTACTTTTTTCAAATATATACTTTAAATTTCCTTTATCTGTATAACTCTCCAACTGACTCCTAGAGACCTTCTGCGAAACAAAGAAATAAACGTCAAATTCTCTTTGGGGGGTATAAAAACCTATCNAAGAGAAATCTTCCAAACTAAGTTTCACGTTTTGCAGAAGGTCTAGTGCTGGAAAATCAGGAAAAATTGATCTACTGGTCAAGCTGCCAAATGGTAAAGGAATGATATTTGAATGCAAATTTTGCGAAAAATGGGAAGAAATAGAAGGTAAGAAAGAAAAAGCTAAGACCTTCTGCAAAACGTGAAACTTAGTTTGGAAGATTTCTCTTCGTATTTTTTAAAAATTTTCTTGTTTAGAGCGTTGTAGAGAAGCAAAGTCACACATGGGATAGGTTTTTATACCCCCCAAAGAGAATTTGACGTTTATTTCTTTGTTTCGCAGAAGGTCTACTAACTTCTACCTCTGCTAAAATGTGCTCACCTTCATTTATCTCTGCATTCATAAATAATCCTTTCAGGAAGAGCTGTAAATTGGCTTCTGAGTAGATGAAATCACGGTAACTTATTATTATTTCTCTTAGGTGGTTTTGTTTTCCACCATCCATATCACTAATTAATCTTTCTATATTCACTTTTTTTCGTTCTAACGGCGATTTTTTAGGAGAAACTTTAGCTTCCTGAGACAAGGAAGAAGAATAAACATAGTAAGGATCTTTTGTACTTTTTAACTCCCTACCGCTTCTGGTTTTTGTAACAGAATTAGAGCACTCTTTTTCTTCTTCAACAGTTACTTGCCCATCTACAAAGATAATTTTATATAAAAATTCTTCATCATTTTTGTTAATACAAACCTTAATGTTGTAATCACCACAACTACCATCCTCAGGTTCAGGGCTTGAAATATCCTCATCTATAGTAGGAAGTTTAGGAGATTCATTACCACCTTTGTCTGTAAATTCAATAATGTGCAATTTCAATTTGTTATCGCTATCGCTAATAACTAATTCTGTATTTCGTGCTTTACTTCCTTCTTCTAATTGTGTGATAATATACTCAAGCTCACATTCATCATTTTGTCCACAATACTGTAACATCTGCCCTAAAATTAATGCAGTAAAAGAGCCAACATATTTGTTCTTAGGGTCAGCCTCATTGTGATTGGATGGATTATCTGGGTTGCTTATTCCTATGTTTTTTGTGTAGCACAGAAATTTCAATTCCCCTTGTATTATTTCCTCTGATTCATCATCCATGAGTACATTTATTATCCCTTTTTGCTTGGATATGTCGTATTTTTCTATCATCAAACCTTTTTCTTGGGTAAAATTCACACCCACCAAAAATGCAACTTTAAATTTACCTAGAATACTTAAATGGTAATAACATTTGTTTTTTATCTGCTGTATTGCATCTTTTGCTGTTTTATTACCTATTTTACACTCGGCAATTATTGAAATATCATTTATTTGCAATACTAAGTCAGCAGTTCCAAGCCCAGCATTAAACTCTATAAAACAATTATATTCAGTATTCATTTTGAAAAAACCATAGATAAAAGCTTGGCGTAATACTTCTTGGGTTTCACTCAATTGAAGTTGCTCTCCTGTCTTATAGTAATCATAGACTTTTGTTAAACCTACAAACACACTTTCTAAGTACTTTTCTATTGCTTGATTCTTATCTAAAATCAGAGGAATGCTTTGTTCCAAAACTCTATTAACTTCTACTTTTAAGCCTATGGAACTATCATCTTTTATCGGATATGGATTTCCATCAGCTCCAATTGACGTACATATAATTTCACCTGACTCTTTAGTAGTACGTAGAATAAGAATTTTACCAAATGTAGTAGTTTTTAGAAACTCAATTTGTATTTTCTTAACATTTAATTTTTCTTTTAGATAAGTTTCTGGTAATGGTAAAATTGAACCAAGAAAAAAGTAGAACCAAAATTCCTCATTTACAGCTATATTCGGTACTTCTGACAAAACTTGATCAAATTCTTCCTCAAAAACTTCTGGTGTGTTGAAAAATGACTCTACTAACATGTTAATCCCATATTTTTTGAACTCATCTGTGTTATTTTTAGGCTGGTCTTTACTTTTTTTGCTGGGGTATAATCACAATCTATATCCTCTTTTCTTTTTTTGTGACCTCCTTTTGCTTGAATGGATGATTTTGCATCAAAAGAGGCAATAAAATCATCAACAAACTTGTAGAACGTAGGTGCATTTTCTTGTAATGCTTCATCTGCTGAATACCACGAAATTCGTTCTTTTGCTTTGAATTTAATAGCTGCATCTTTATTTAACAGACAACAGTTCATAAAATTACTTAATGCTTGCCATTTATTTCCAGCAACTAGATTGTAGCAGATACTCGGTCCTTCATTTAAGATAAACTTTTCCCTTGCTGGTATGGATACACTACCCAAAATTAACCCTATACTTACGTAATCTTCAACCTTAAATAGCTTTGATAAAAGTTCACTGGCCTCCCATGTGTTGATAGCTTTCTCTTTATCGGGTATTTTTTGCCAAAAGCACCTTAACAGTTCTTTATAACTTTGAAAATGATTGGAAACTTTTTTGCCAATATAATACAGTAAATTATGGTAATTTTCCTCCTGTAAAGAATCCCATGAATACTCTACTGCATGTATAAAAAGTTGCCGATAAGGAAAATTCAACAATCCGTTCAGTATATTTTCTGCCGTATAAGTATTACTAAAAATATCTTTCCGCTGCTCATCATCTACCTGATTAAGTAAAAAGCATACAATACCAGTATAGCAACTATTTGAAAAACGCCTACTTTCAGATATATATTCGTAGGACTCTCTTGCTGCCGCTACTATATATTTCTCTAAATTTCTTTCTTTTTCTTCAGGGTTTAACTTTTTCCAAAAATACTTTACTGCAACGCTATTTCCCTGGTCCACTGCAATATTTAAGCCATATTCATTTATTGAATTTCCACCTATCACTTCAGCACTTTTTCCATATAAGTGATAACTCCAAAAAAGCACGAGACCTTCATATAGCCTACTTTTTTTCATTTTTTTTAAATGCCTTTCCTCTTTACCTAGTTGCTTCCACAAATCATGGATTATATCTTCAAAGCAGTAAGTACAGGCTATCTTATAGCGTTTTAAAACACTTAAACTCTCATCGCTTAGCAAGTTTCTTGCAGTTTTTTCTGCGTCTATTGCACCTTGAGGTGTCCAGCCTATATTATTAAAAAAAGCTGATTCACAGTAGTACTGACCATAGTATTGTGCCCATCTAAGAATTTCCAAGCCAATTTGTGTACTGATACCGGATAACTCTGCTTTCAGGGTCTGTGGCAGCTCCAGAGTTTTGACGATCTCCTGCACTATTTTTTCTATCTTTTTCCACCTTTTATCAAAGCCATGTTCAGAACGGTACTCAAATACCCTTAAAACCTCATCTTTAATCGGATTATGAGTCCAAAGAGCAATTGCTACCTCTATTAACGCTTTCTCTTTTAAATTTCCTGGTGGTAGTAAATTATAATCCATCCTCTTATCTTCACAATATACCTTCCTATATTAGCATATTTCGTGCAAGCTTAGAAATATTTTTTATTAGATATTTTTTTTTAAGAAAGTCCTTCTCTAGACCTTCTGCGAAACAAAGAAATAAACGTCAAATTCTCTTTGGGGGGTATAAAAACCTATCCCATGTGTGACTTTGCTTCTCTACAACGCTCTAAACAAGAAAATTTTTAAAAAATACGAAGAGAAATCTTCCAAGCTAAGTTTCACGTTTTGCAGAAGGTCTAGTGATTTTTAATCCATAGTTGGGGTTTGTAGAGTACTACTGCAAGATAAAATTAGCTTTAACTTTAGAAAAATAACCTGTATGTTCTTTCATAGGTCAACTATGTTATAGAAGGATGCAAAAACGCCACATAACTATTTGTTTTGTATTATTTTTCATAGCTTGTGCATTATTTCTGATGCGTCCCATGATTTTTCCATGCTTAATATCAATTGTTACTGCATATTTATTTAATCCACTGGTAATCAAACTTGAAAAATATAAAATACCACGTCTATATTCCGTAATTTTAATAATACTTGTTTTACTGATAGTCTTTATACTAACTATCACACTTGCCATTCCCATAATATATATACAAATCACAACAATATTGAATTTTTTAGTAAACAAAATACCTTCACTAAAACCCAAGATGATCCCGCCTTTATTAGAATTTTTAAATATAAAGATGAATAAGAACTTATTTGATCATTTGTCTAAAAATTTGACAGAAAATTATGGTGATTACTTAGCTTGTTTTTTAGATACCTTGAAAATTGCAAGTAGTTTTATGATTCAAGCGTTAAGCTCAAGCTTTAATTTAGTTTACATAATATCACTAATGGTGATTACTCCTGTAATATTTTTCCACGTATTACGTGACTTACCTTTAATTATAGAAAAAGCTAATAATCTCATTCCTATTCCATACAGGGAAAAAGTTGCAGATTACTTTTCAAGGGTAGATTTCATCATCTCCAATTACCTTAAAGGACAGATCAATGTATGTATTGTCATGATGATATTCTACTCTATAGGTCTAAGTATTTTAGGGTTAAACCATCCTATTATTATAGGAATTTTATCGGGAGCATTAACATTTATACCTTATATAGGAGCGTTATTATATTCCACTATTGGGTTTCTGAGTGCTGTCACTCAATTTCATGAATGGTTTGAAAGCATGGCCGTTTTATTGCTATTTTTAACTGGTCAATTGATAGACTCAAACATACTGGGTCCTTTATTAATAGGAAAAAAAGTCCATATACATCCAGCTGTTATTGTTATTGGTATTACTATATGTGCTTCGTACTTTGGTTTTATAGGAATATTACTCTTTATTCCAATAGTTGCAGTGTTTAGTGTATCAATGGATCTTGCAATTGATAGATATCGTAAAAGTGAATTTTACAAAAAAGGTTGAGATGCAATTGAACTTATTTAATAATAATCAGGTCGACTATAGCCAAAAAAATTATATCATATTAGACGAGAATAGAAGCATATATAATCTAGTAATTTGTGATCTATCTTGGCAATGTCTCATCTTATTCGGGCCTAAAAGTTCTGGGAAAACACACCTTGCTCATATCTGGCAATCGACGAACGACGCTATCCTTATAAATACTCACAACTTTATAAGCGACATCAGATACAGCAACGCTTTTATTTTAGAAAATATACAAAATATTCAAGATGAAACAACATTATTACATTGTTATAACTACATGAAAGAGAATAACAAAAGATTGCTAATTACTTCTTCAATTTCACCAAAAGAACTTAACTTCCAATTAAGAGACCTAAGTTCTAGAATATTATCAACTGCCAGCGCAAAAATTCTACCTGCAAGTGAAGAGTTGCTAAAGATTATGTTAATCAAAAAATTTGCAGATAAACAATTGAAAGTTGATTTAAAGATGATTAATTATATCTTAACAAGAATAGAGCGTTCTTTTTACGGCATTAGCAAAATAGTAGAAGAAATCGATAACAAAGCCATAGGAGCAAATATTACAATTCCTTTTGTAAACTCCATGTTAAGCACAATCTCCAGATGAGAATAAAGCTACTGCTTTCAATAGTTGATACTTAACTTCTATAAAATATAATACTCATATGTCTAATAAAACTATTTTAGCTGTTGAAACAAGTTGCGACGAAACAGCTGTAGCAATTGTAAATAGCAACAAGCAGATCCTTGCCCATGAAATTCTCTCACAAAAAGAACACAAAACATGTGGCGGTGTAATACCCGAAGTAGCATCACGTGCGCATATGAATCATTTGAGCAACTTAATAGAAAGTGCCATAGAAAAATCCAACCTTGATTTTTGTAGCTTGGATGCAATTGCAGCAACTTCAGGACCTGGACTGATAGGTGGGCTAATAGTTGGTACAATGATGACTAAAGCTATTGCTCATGTAACAAAAAAGCCATTTATTGCCGTTAATCACTTAGAAGCGCATGCATTGGTAGTGAGATTGCTATATGAAGTAAAATTTCCATTTTTAGTTCTATTAATATCAGGTGGTCATTGTCAATTTTTGATTGCACAGGATGTGGGCAAGTATATCAAACTAGGGGAAACTCTTGACGATTCACTAGGAGAAGCCTTTGACAAGGTTGCCAAGATGTTAGGCTTGGATTATCCAGGAGGACCATTAATTGAAAAGCTTGCTAAAAATGGTAATGGCACGAGATTTAATTTTCCAAGAGCGATGATAAAACGCCCCGGATGCAATTTTTCATTTTCTGGTATTAAAACTTCAGTAAAAAATTTGTTACAAAAGCTTGAAATGAATGAGCAAGATATTTGTGACGTATGTGCTTCATTTCAAGAATGCGTAAGCGATATATTATTAGATAAAGTGAATAAAGCAATAGCTATGGCTGCATCTTCAAACATAAAAATCCACGATTTTGTCATTAGCGGAGGAGTTGCAGCAAATAAATTTTTGCGAGAGAAGTTAGAAAAACAAATAAACTTAAATATATTTTTTCCCCCTCCTCATCTATGTACGGATAATGCAGTCATGGTAGGTTGGGCAGGAATTGAAAGATTGCAGAAAAATTACACAAACTCGCTTAATTTTCCGCCAAGATCACGATGGGAGCTAGAGAAAATCTTGCCTTAACTGTACACTTCCACCATATGATGGCATATTATCATCATCATTTAAGGAGTCATTATGGGACAAGCATAGCTAACCAAGATAAGGTTTACCTGATTTTTGAAAAATAAAATCAATAGCAGCGTTAATATTTGGCGAAAAAATTGGCAGTATTTTTCTGACGGCGTGTTTTATGGCAAACCAAAAATGTTCAATTGGGTTCAAATCTGGTGAATATGGCGGCAAAAACAGCACTTTACATCCTACATTTTCAATCAATTTTCTGATTTTTACGGACTTGTGAAAGCTTGCATTGTCAAGAATTATGGTTTGCCCAGGCTTTAATGTTGGCACTAAAATTTTTTCAACATATGCTTCAAAAAGCTCACTGTTGCAATATCCCTCAAATGCACATGGAGCGCCAACTTTTCCATCATTTAGCGCTCCAATAATACTAATTCTTTTTTTCTTAAATGCATGCTTTTCTGCAAATAATCTCTTGCCTTTAGGGGCCCATCCGTACGCATAAAACTCGTTGTCATCAATACCAGATTCGTCTATAAATACCAGATTTTCTTCCTTTATTTCAGCTACTTTTGCTGTGAATTCTTTACGCTTTTTTTCATCTCTCTCTTGATAAAGGAAGGTTTTTTTTTATATGTGTAGCCAGCTTTTTTTAGATAATTATATGCTGTTTCTTTGCACATATTGCCAAATCTTTCTATTATTTTATCAGTCGTAACATCTTGTTCATCTTGTAGAAATTTGAAAAAACTGCCCATATCTTTAATCTTGCTCCTATGACCTGTTTGATAACCAGATGCTGGCTTTATGCTTCCAGTTTCCTCCCTTCTTTTTCGCCATAAATATATTGTTTTTATACTGAGTTTAAATGTTTTACCTATTTTTTTCATGGACATTTTTTTTTCATCAATAACCTTGAAAACACGTTCTCGCAAGTCCTCGCTGTATGGTTTGGGCATTTTTTACTCCATCTATTTATTCTTCAATCTACCATCTTACCATAAATTTTGTCTAGGTAAACCTTATCTTAGTTANCTAGGCTCTGTGAACCAAAATTTTAAGCAAGCCATATGAGGGCCCCAACGAAGTTTAAAAAGCCTAAATAAACCGTGGCAGTCTTATCAAATCTTGAAAAAATCCGCCTAAAATGTTTTATTTTGCCGAAAAAGCATTCAATCAAATGACGTTCTTTATAAATATGCTCATCATAATACCTCTGCACTTTTCGGTTACGCTTCGGAGGAATAACAACCTCACACCCTTTATTCTCAAGACCCACAATAAAAGCATTACTATCATAGCCCTTATCGGCCACCACAACTGAATTTGAGACATTCTCAGTTAATGCTTCAGCCTGTGTAATATCGTTCCTTTGACCAGCAGTTAAAGTAAATTTAAGCGGATTTCCCAGAGCATCAACAAGAGCATGTATCTTTGTTGTAAAGCCACCTTTGCTGCGTCCCAGTGCTTCTTGAGCTCCGGTATCCTTCTTGTATCCAGCCGCACAAGCATGTGCTCTAACGATTGTTCCATCTATCATTTGCACTTCCAAATCTGGATCTTGTGTATATTTGAGCAGCTTTTCCCAAATTCCCTTTTCACACCACTTTTTGAATCTCTTATGTACGCTTCTGTAATTGCCATATATTTCTGGTAAAAGTCGCCATTGGCAACCACTTCGAGCCATGTACCACACTGATTCCATGAACCTTCTTATCCGATCTTCGTTTTTACTGTGTATTCCTTTTACGCTTTTCAAATTTGCAAAAATTTGTTTCCATTTTGTTTCTTGTATGTAATATTTCATTTGGTAGTTTCTCCTTATTTATTCACGGTTAAACTACCACTTTTTTCTTATTTCTCCAAATTTTGGTTCACAGAGCCTAGAAAGAACGTTCCTATTCTCAAATCTTTTCGTCAATCTGTTGATTCTGCTTTTCTTTTATCCTTTCTACTATTATGAGAAGGGCTATACTATCTTTCATATCAATACATCATACCATTACACTCTGAAAGTGCATACCAGATGATCATGTTTAGTTTGTGAAAGATTTGTTGCAGGATTATGCTCTGCCAATAGCTCATGTATTTGATCTTGTGTTTTTGATAAATAAGTTAAAGTTGAAAGCTTACGTGCACGTTTTTCACTTGGCAGTGTGTCATGTTTTGTTTGCAGGCTATCTATCATTGATTTAAATTCCATCATATCATTAGTAGCTCTTGTTTTTTGTGAGAGACTACTAAGACTTTTTGCATAGGATTGATACACTTATCAATTTCTTTCTGGCATTCATCGATTCTTTTTTGGTATATATCAATCTTTTGCTGAAAATATCGATATCTGTGTCTTCTTCCTTCCATTTCTTTGACACAATCATTTTGATGATTTATGCAATGAAAAATTGACTGTTTCTTTTCATTAATAACACTGATTGATCCAGTGATACTTTTCATCAACTCCTCTACTTTTTTTAAGTCTCCTTTCAGTATCTCCATCTCCTTTTTCTTATCCTCCATTTTAGTTTTGCATTCTTCATAAGGTATAACAGGAGACAGCGTTCCATTTTGTATGCCTCTATCATAAAATTCCCTTAACTCATTATCGGCTAGTATTTTCATAGCATTATTCATCTTCTTCTCTGATAAATTGTGGAACTTCGTTTTTAATGCCCTAATTCGCTCTGATAATACCTTATTGCCAGCTGATTTTTCTAGGCTCTGTGAACCAAAATTTGGAGAAATAAGAAAAAAGTGGTAGTTTAACCGTGAATAAATAAGGAGAAACTACCAAATGAAATATTACATACAAGAAACAAAATGGAAACAAATTTTTGCAAATTTGAAAAGCGTAAAAGGAATACACAGTAAAAACGAAGATCGGATAAGAAGGTTCATGGAATCAGTGTGGTACATGGCTCGAAGTGGTTGCCAATGGCGACTTTTACCAGAAATATATGGCAATTACAGAAGCGTACATAAGAGATTCAAAAAGTGGTGTGAAAAGGGAATTTGGGAAAAGCTGCTCAAATATACACAAGATCCAGATTTGGAAGTGCAAATGATAGATGGAACAATCGTTAGAGCACATGCTTGTGCGGCTGGATACAAGAAGGATACCGGAGCTCAAGAAGNTTGTGAAAGATTTGTTGCAGGATTATGCTCTGCCAATAGCTCATGTATTTGATCTTGTGTTTTTGATAAATAAGTTAAAGTTGAAAGCTTACGTGCACGTTTTTCACTTGGAAGTGTGTCATGTTTTGTTTGCAGGCTATCTATCATTGATTTAAATTCCATCATATCATTAGTAGCTCTTGTTTTATGTGAGAGACTATCAAATACTTTTTGCATAGGATTAATACACTCATCGATTTCTTTCTGGCATTCATCGATTCTTTTTTGGTATATATCAATCTTTTGCTGAAAATATCGATATCTGTGTCTTCTTCCTTCCATTTCTTTGACACAATCATTTTGATGATTTATGCAATGAAAAATTGATTGTTTCTTTTCATTAATAATACTGATTGATTCAGTGATACTTCCTATCAACTTCTCTATTTTTTTTAAATCTCTTGCCAATTCCTGATTCTCTATCTTCTTTTCCATTTTAGTTTTGCATTCTTCATAAGATATAACAGGAGACAGTGTTCCATTTTGTATGCCTATATCATAGAATTTCCTTAACTCATTATTGGCTAGTATTTGCATAGCATTATTCATCTCATCTGACGAATGAGGATATTTCGTGCTTAATGTCCTAATTCGCTCTGATAATAGGGTTGAAATTTGATTATCAGCTGATTCTTCTAGTGATGTGATATAATCTTGCATTTTTGCAAAAAGTGATGCTGCAGTTCCAGGTTTCTTGAATTCTTTCTCATTATCCTTATAAAACTTACCTTGTACAAAATCTTTAGCCTGCTTTTTTATTACCTGCAGTTCAGCAAGTGCCTGTTTCTCATCAACCTCGCTGAGGATTTTAATGATTTTTTTCTTTGCTTGCATTGCCGTTTTATTATTTTCCAGATCAGTTAGTTGTTGTTTTATTTCATTTCTGGCTTTATCGTTTGTATTACCCAGTTCTTTCTTTACTGCATTTGTAGCTACGTTTTCAATAATATTCCTTGCTATCCCTTTGTTCTCTGAGTGATCCATATCTTTCACAAGAGAGCTAGCATATAATTGCCAAATCTCCTGATTAGTCAAAACTCTCTGATTAGTCCAATTTTCAAAATCTTCTTTATCTTTAAACTTTAAAATAGTATAAAGATTTTTCTCAGTGGCATTTGCTTTCTGCGTTTTTGTTTCATGCAAGAAATGCTTTATCGCAGTAACATTTTTAAGTTGTACTTTTGATATATATAATACGAAATACTTTATCGCACCTAAAATTTGGCTCATAACTTTACCTCAATATAAACCCATAGTAACAAATATTATAAAGACTTAACATTAAAGTTTTAATAACTATTGTTACCAATATAAATTCATTAGAGATACAATATACCGATCTCATAAGGAAAAAGTGGAGAGAAGGTAGGACTATTTTTTACGTAAAATAAGCTCTTCAGGTTGGAGTTAGAAGCAATTCTAATTATATTTGATTTTACTCAAATTTTTATCTAAAATAAAATTTAATATCTTTAAGATCTCTTCAGTGAGCACTGTCAGTACTTTAATTCAAGAAGGATCAAAATTTTTATCTTCAAGTGGGGTAGATACACCATATCTTGACTGTGAGATAATTATGCAGCATGTGTTGGGTGTAGAAAGATCTTTCATAGTCATGAATCATACTGATTTTGTCTTAGCACACAAAGAATCAAAGTTTTGGCAATTGATAAAAAAGAGAGCGGAGAAACATCCAGTATCGCACCTAACAGGCAAGCGTGAATTCTGGAATAGCGATTTTATAGTTAGTCGAGACGTTCTAGATCCAAGACCAGACAGTGAAACAATAATTTCAACGGTATTAAAATACTATATAAATAAGAAACAAAAACTAAAAATTGCAGATTTTGGTACTGGTACCGGTTGTTTATTGATATCTATATTGAGTGAATATCAATATGCTATAGGTATTGGCTTTGAAAAAAGTTTAAGAGCATATAGAATTGCTCGCAAAAATGTAAAAAAACATAATCTATTAGGCAGAGCTCAAATTTTTCCACGTTCATGGACAGAATGTAGGGATTTATTTGACCTTGTAATTAGTAATCCTCCGTATATCAAGAGAGATAAGTTGAAAACCTTACAAGTTGAAGTACAGAAAGAGCCAAAAATCGCACTTGATGGTGGCATAAGTGGATTAGATTGCTATTTGAGTATTTTTGCAACATTGAAGAAGTGCCTTAAAAAAGGAGGATTTGCTATATTGGAGATAGGTGAAGATCAAAACAATATCGATAGATTAATACCTTTATACGGGCTAGCTTTTCAAGAATATGTGTATGATTTATCAGGGATGAAGAGGTGCATTATTGTAAAACAGGTTCACGGTTAGTAAAAATAGTTATAAACTTCATTAATAAAAATGAGTATAATATAAGTTTAAAATTATA